TGTTCTCTCATTGATGTTTCTATCTCCCTCTCCCTGCCTCGCTCTCTGAAAATAAATAAAGGAAAAAATTCTGTAATTTCCAAACATTAAACAAAAATAAAACGCTCTCTATCAATAGTGAGACCACGGAGGCATTCTGACAGTGAACACAGCGGCCCTTTAGGAATGGGGCACCAGACGGGTGGGGAGAACAGATGGGGGCTGGACTCAGAAAGGTCACTGCAGTACTTCAGGAATAAGGACCAAGGGCTACAGTGGCCTGGGGCAGGGGGCCAAGAGAGGTGGGCAGATTCAGCAGGGTCACAACAGGCCTGAGGACTTACTGGTAAGGAGGTGTGGAGGAGGGCATCCCCCCACAGAGCCTTGAGGTGTGTAGGAAAATGGAGCTGATGAATCTGGATGAGTGTGAAGTCCACAGGGCTGTTAAGTAGACGGAGAGAAAGAACAAGGCCTCGAGGACGGGGCAGGTGGGCAGCTAGCAACTAAGGATTTGGAATTGACTGCATCGAGCAGGAGATTTTTGAGGCAGAGAATGTAAAGGAAGGACCTGGTTCTGAGCCTTGGAGAACATGGCAGTTAGGAGGCATCAGGGGGGTAAGACTTGATCTGAGAAGCCTTAGGGAGCCACTCTAGTTTCTTGAGCAGAGGAGTAACTGACCCTGAAATCCCAAACTCCGAGGCAGAAGGAAACTCACAGGTCCTCGGACCCAGCTCTTGTCCCACATTTCAGTCCCATATTGTGGACTGAAAAGCAGTCCACAATACACTTTGTGAGCATAGACATCTCCAGAAAAGAAGGCCCCGTCCGTTCCTGGTGGCAGCATGTGGCAGCCTCCCCTGCCTGTGGTTAGATAAGCTGATCTGGTAAGATGGCTCATCAGCTTCACCTTCTTGGCGTTCGCACCCTGCCCCGAGTGTCCCCGCTGTGGAGCAGAGGATGAGAGCGTCTGGTCCTGGCCCCGAGTCCTCCCAGTTTACTCAGGACCTGGTTTCCAGACTCCCGCTCTCCTGCTCAGCAGGCCAAGGGCGTGCGCTCTGACGGAGGAGGAGGCAGAGCTGGCTCGAGTTGGTCAGCTTGGAATTCTTGCATCATTTAATTTAACCTTCCTGTTTCTTGGGAACCAAGGCTTATCCCCTTTCAAAAGAGGAAGCCAAACCTCCAAGAGGCAGAGTGGGTTGCCCAAGATCACACTGGCAGTGAGGATGGAGCAGGGTTTGCACCAGGGTCTGCCTCCAGGACCTCACTGCTCCCTCAGCAGCCTGGGCCTCGGCACACAAGGGCCTGTACGAAGGGGCCATGTGGAGGCTGGTGAGCAGTGATCAGGAAGAGCACAGTGTGGTGGGTTTTACATGAAATGCATGGTGTGAGGAGGTCATCCTCATCCTTCCAGGAGTTCCCCTGCCAGGAGTCTCCTTCATGGCCACTGCGCCGGCCAACTGTAGGCAACAGGACAGCACACCACTGCCTATAGTCAGAACTCCCTTTGCTCTCCTGGAACGGGGCACACAAATTGTTCCTGCAGAATGCCTGCCCCAAACGGGAAGCCTGCCTTCCAGACTCCTCTCTCCAACTCCTGGAGCAAGATGAGGGAGAGAATGTGAGGGCTGAGGGGCTTACCCTGTAATCCTAGACACACACGAGCCAATCAGAATTGTGGTTAGGAACCATGGAGTCAGCAGGCCTGGGTTTGTTTTATTTTATTTTTTTTATCCTCACCCGAGGACATTTTTTGTTCAGGTAGAGTGGGAGGGAGAGAGAGGAAGAGAGACAGAAACATCGATGTGAAAGGGACACATCGAGTGGCTGCCACCTGCACGACCAACCAGGGCCGGGGACAAACTGCAACCGAGGTACATGTCCTTAGCGGGAACTGAACCCGGGTCTCTCGGGACCACAGGCTGATGCTCTAACCGCTGAGCCAAACAGGCCAGCTGAGTTTGAAATCAGCTCTCTCACTAGTGAGCTTGTTCACAAATGCCTTAGTCTATCCTCAGGATTATAGTAATATTGGTGCCGTGACCTGTGAAGTTTCAAGGCATTACCAGTCATTCACCACTTAACAACAGGGATACGCTCTGAGAAAGGCGTCATTGTGGGAACACAGTACAGCGCACTTACACACACCTACGTGGACAGCCTAGCACACCTCGGCTCTGCGGGCCGGCCTGCTGCTCCTGGGCTACAGGCCTGCACAGCGTGTTCCTGCGCAGCGCAACGCGAGATTACATCAGGCACACGAGAGAACGATGCCCTCAAGAGACGCGGTGAACACGAGCTGGATGAGGCTGCTGCTGGCCTAATACAGCAAAGTGTTTTATAGCAGACTTGTTTTATAAGTAGAAAGAGTACACTCTAAAATCATGATGAAAGTATAGTATAGTAAATACATAAACTTGTTATATAGCCATTTATTATCATAATTAAACATACACTGTACATAGTTGTATGAGCTATTCTTTTATGTGACTGGCAGGGGTAGTAGGTTTGTTTATACCAGCATCACCGTAAACAGGAGTAATGCCTTGCGCTATGACGTCTCCACCGCTGCAAAGTCACTAGGCAATAGGAATTTTCCAGCTCCGTTATAATCTTATGGGACCACCATCACGTGCGATTCATCGGACAGAAACATTGTTATGGGGCACCTGGACATGTAAACCCGGAGCAGTGCCTGGCACCCGGGTAACTGCATCGGAAGACATCGTCCTCCTTTGTTCCTCTGCACCTGGGGGACACAGACCAGGGGATAAAGAATCAATACCTATAGTTCAACGGGCGTTGGAGCACCAACAGTGAAAGACGGTCGGTATACTGAGGCCACCGCCGCCGCATGCCTGGGGACACAGTGAGGGTGATAGAAACGGCGATAAGCTGGAAAGTCGGCGCCCTCAGGCAAGGAAGCTACTGCCCCACCGGTTGTTGCCATGTGAAATGTGGGTCATGTTGCCACATCTTTGGATTTTTCCAAAGAAGTAGGAAATGTGGATTTTTATATAAAATGTACTGAATTTTAAATGTGGCAATTAATTCCGTTTAAAACAAAAGTGTGAAGGCCTGGGGGTCGCGACCCCTTTGGGGCTCGAACGACCCTTTCACAGGGGTCACCTAAGACATAACAGTAGCAAAATTACAGTTATGAAGTAGCAACGAAAATAATGTTACGGTTGGGGGTCACCACAACGTGAGGAGCTGCATTAAAGGTCGCGGCAGCAGGAAGGTGGGAACCACTGCTCTGGAGTCTAGACTCTCCGTCCAGGGCCAGGTCGGGCTCTCACAGCCCCTGCAGGCCCAGAGAGTCACGGGGCTGGATCTGCCCCCAAGTCTCTCCGATCCCAAGTTGTCCTGCTTCTCACCTGTCTCTTAGTGTGAGGGGCGAGAGAGTGGGGTGTCTGTGAATGAAGGCAACTGTGCAGCGGAGCCCAGTGGTGGAGGCTCTGGGAAGGTTTGTCCCGTCAGTCCTGCCTGGGGATTGATCCAGAGACAGATGATGGGCAATGCATGAAGATAATGCACGGCTTCACTCCATGCACTGAGCACCTACTAACTGCATGCTAGTCACTTTCTAGGTGCTGGGGAGACAGCATCGAGGACAGGAGGCTGAGTCCCTGCCCTGGTGGAGCCGACACTAACGTGAGTGCACGGGAGGGACGGCAGAGATGGGGTAAGGGCGTAGACGTTGTCAGGGGTGATACATGCTGGGAGAAACAGAGCAGGGGATGGGTCCAGGAGGGGCAAAGGCCCTGAGGTGAGAGTGAGGTAGAAAGGTGATGGAGCCAGGGATGAGATGGAGACATGCCCAGGTGAGAAGGAGGGTGAGGGAGACAGCTCTGGGATGTGGCCACAGGCTGGCCCAGAGGGGCCTTCGCCTGGTGGCCACATTCTCCAAATCCCAAAGGTAGGCCCAGAGGGGCTGCATCCTCTTTAGCAACTTCTGACACACGGTTTGTTCCTCCTCTGGCTCCCTCACATCCCCGGACACATAGCCCTCTCCACGTTCTCCTGCCGTTCCTCTGTGTCCGTAACACACACATTCAAACTTCTTGAGGGTAGAAAGCCTGGCTCTCGTTCAGCTCTGAGGCCTTCACCTCTCTGTTCCCACAGTGCCCAGGAATAACAGGATTCAATATATAAATGTGTTGAATTGAACTAATGACAAGGTTTTAAGCATCTTACCTCATTTCTCATACCTTGTTTTTCTCTCCTGTAAAATGGGGATAATATGCTGTCCTACCTCAACAGATTGTGGTGAGGAAATGAGATAAAGGATATAAAAGTTGGGAGCCCAGGTAACCTGGGCCTTGGGAGGCCACCGGTGTCCCCAGGTTTTTAAAGGTTTCTTTTGTTATGAGCTGAGTGGCCCCTGAACTGCTGGGAAAGGTTCTTGCCCTCCTTGGTCAGGGAACTCCCACTGACTTCCCTCCTGCCACCGGTTTCCTCCTCTGAGGGGAACAAATGGGCCTCAGTTTCCTCCTCTGAGGGTAGCAAATGGCAGAAGAGGGGCCAGGAGCATAGCCTGCCACAAATTCCTGCTGGCCGCGCTTGTCCCCTCAGCTCAAACTCTTGTTGGCCTGACTTACTATTTCATTTAAGCCATTTTTAGTCTGTAGGAGGTTCCCTCTCAGATCCTCCCTGCCAGACCCTGTGCCCAACCCACACCCCAGGCATCAGGGCCCCAACTCTGGGTCTGAGTTCTAACAAAGGCAGGCCCCAGGGGACCAGCAGCCACCAATCCGCTTCCTCGCTTCCTCGAGGGCCTGAGAAATGGAGAGCGGCCAGAAATCCGGAGACCCTCACAGGCACTGGATTTCCCGGAGACTCTGCTCCCACTGGAGACATAAAGCGGGGCATGGTCTCGGCTACCTCCCTGCTCCCCGGCCTCATTTTTTCCCAGGCTGTGGGAGGCAAAGGGTTAAATCCCATAGAGCTGATGCTCTGACTCCAGGCTAGAGGGACCCGGGAAGCTGGGGTCACTTCCTGCTCCGTCCCAGTCACCCTGAACTGGTCCCCGGGTCCTCAGCCTGGGATCACCCCTTGAGAAGGACCCCAGAGTCCTCGGCATCTAGCCCGCCACCCCCCAGGCAGGGCATTCAAGGGGTTAAGTCCCCTGGGGCTGGATTCTGCCTTCCGCCTTTCCCAGACCCCAGAGCCGTGAGTTGGGGACGCCTGGGTTCCTGAGGGTGGCCCGCAGGGCCCGGGACGCGGCCCGGGAACAATGGGGCAGGGAGGCAGGTGGCCCCGGGCCTGAGCCCCCTCCCCGGCCCCTGGTCGCAGGGGTAGGGCTGGGGGCCGGGCAGGGGGGCAGAGGCCGAGGATTCTGGGAAGAGCGCGAGGGTCTGGCTGTGGGGGAGGGGAGGCGTGAGCATTCTGGGAAGAGGGAATTCGACCGCCCGGCCGGGCTGGGGGCTGCGAGCCCGCCGGGAATCCTGGGGGCCTGGGAGGCGGAGGATGCCCGGAGCTGGAAGCTGGCAACCGAGAGAGGGTGGCGGGGACCAACTGGAGCTAAAGTCCAGGGTCTGGGTTGGTGCAGCCGTGGGGGGCCCGAGGACCAGGATGGCTGCGTGCCCACTGCTGTCTCCACTTAAGGGTCACCCTGGGCGCCTCTCCACACCTCTCTTGGAGGCAGCCTTTTCCCCTCCTCCGTCTCTCCCTCCCTCCGCAGTGGGACTGGCTCAAGGTCCGAGGTCTGGAGCTTGGGCCTAGGTCAGCTTCAAGCACTTCTTGCCTCGCTGGGTCTTCCCACTTTCATACTCCACGGAGGCCTTGTCATTAACCCCTTCCCTCTCCTCTGGAACGCTGAACTTGAATTTCTGGAAATAATCAAGGTCTTACCTGTCCTCAGCAAACAGCAGGGCACCCTTCCAGGCCTCCTCAGAACAGGCAGCCTCAGTGTGGCAGAGGTGCCTGCTTCCACCTCCCCCAAAGACACTTACAGATGGGGGAGGGGATTCTCATTCCCTAAGGAGCTACAGAAATGAAGAAATTAATTTACTTCCTAAAATCTAACTCCTGACTCCCCTGCTGCTATAGCAGGGTTCAGCTAGCTCCTACTTCACTTGGGTTACTTCCCAGCTGCCTCCTCTTGAGTCCTAGCCATGTCTGCCTGCACCACTGCCCCATATACATAGTCCCTGTCCCACTCAGCCACCCAAAGCCCAGGCTTTCCCCAGGGACTCTCTTAAGGGTCTCAACATTGTGGAACTGCTCCTAGCACTTAGCTCCAATGGTCCTATTCCCTTGTGCTGAAATCGTCTCACCCTTTATGGAGTGAGCTGGCTGTGTTCTACCAGGAGGCCACTCTGAACTGTTTCTTTGCTGCCATCCCCTTGCTGATTGACCTTTGAAGGCATTGGACAAACAGGTTTTCCAGGAGCAAGGGGCATCTCATTCTTCTTTCGATCATTCAACAAAATGTATTGAGCACCTGTTCTGTGTCAGGCATCGTCCTAGGCACAGCATACAGGAGCAAGGAAACAGAGCAAACAGTACAGAACGAGGGCCAGAATGGAGCTGGTATGAAGGGTCTCACTGGGGAGAACTGTTCTGAAACCTCCCCTTTTACAGCCAAGGACCTCTTGGTCCCAGGATTTTCTCCATCCCATTCTCATGGCAAGTAGGCTGCCTCTGAGCTTTCCTCATCACCTGTCCCTGCCAGCAGCCCACATTTATGAGTTTCACATGACTCCCAAGGTCATCTTCCTCTCTCAGACGCTGGGGCAAGCCAGACACAGAACCTTGCATTTCTATGTCACTTCCCGGCCTGTGACCTTGGAGACATATCTCCCTGAGGGTTGATTTCCTAATCTGTAAAATGGACAATCTGATTCCTGAGGACTGTGGAAGATTGAGTGATAATGAGGACACCACAGCAGGTATTATGTCAGCTGCTAGTGGTCTTCACACACTTCTGGCTCTTTTCCTTTTCAGTTTCCTCTCAAGGTCGTTCCTGCACAAGCCCATAGTGGCTTTAAATGCCCCCTCCCCCTAAACTGGCCTGACCTTTCTGTGCTTGGTAACCGGAAAGTGCCCCAGTCCTTTTGGAGGGCCCCTGTCGCCTCAGGAAAATCAGCGGTTTCTTTCTTTTTCTAACTTTTTTCAGTGTTCCAGGCAGTCTCAGTTCTCTGTGAGGCTCTTAAGGAATGTTTATTGGTCCCAATTAGCAGCCCCATTAAGGAGGGAAATTAAGAGTCTTAATGAGCTTCTTCTGATTAGCAAAATAACAGGTTTCCCAGCCTCTGGGCATCATAGGGTAGGTGAGAGCCACTTCCCCTGTGGGTGTCAGTTACCTCTCCAGCCCCCAGTCTGGGTTCAAAGGGTTATGACTGATGAGCTTTTAATTATACTCTTACATTCACCTACATGCTTAGTTGTGTTCTTAAGGTCTGAATCAGGAATCAGGCCTGTGGGGGTGGGATGGGTAAGCACAGTGAAAACTAATGCCCAGAAAAATGGGTTGGTAGGAGACTGAAGGTTACAGAAAGAGAAATGAGAGCTGGGGGGTTGGGCAAGTGGAGAGTTAAAAACAAAAGCCAGAGATCAGCTCCCATTGTGTGCTCCTTTCTCTCCCTCAGGGTCCCTGGGACGCTGGGCCGCCCTGAGCTCTGGGATGGAGCCTGAAGCAGTGCTGTGGGGCCCAGAGCTGCGGGGTCCTGACCAGAGCCCTAATGATGCTCACAGAGGTGAGGGGCACAAGAAGGGACTGCAGTCCTGACAAAACAATGGCCCCAGTTCAGGGAGGGGCCCAGACTCTGGGGGAAACCCAGGGGGGGGAAGAGAAACCGACCCCCTGTTCTGAAAGGAGATGGGGGCTGGAGACTCCCTTTCTCTCTGTAGGTGCCGAGAGTGGGAACGAAGAGGAGAGCCCTCAGCAGGAAAGTTCTGGGGAGGAGATCATCTTGGGCGATCCAGCTCAGAGTCCAGAATTCAAGGACCCACCAGAGATGCCCCTGGAGAGACCCTCCCAGGATCCCTCAGTCCCCCAGGATCCCCCAACTCCACTGGGTCACCCCAACCCCTTGGACCACCAGACTCCTCTTGACCCCCCAACCCCGGAGGTAGTCCCTACCCCGTCTGACTGGACCAAGGCCTGTGAGGCCAGTTGGCAGTGGGGGACCCTGACCACCTGGAACAGTCCCCCGGTGATTCCTGCCAATGAGTCCAGCCTGCGTGAGCTCGTGCAAGGCCGCCCCTCTGGGGCTGAGAAGCCCTACATCTGCAACGAGTGCGGCAAGAGCTTCAGCCAGTGGTCCAAGCTGCTGCGGCACCAGCGCATCCACACGGGCGAGCGGCCCAACACGTGCTCCGAGTGTGGCAAGAGCTTCACTCAGAGCTCGCACTTAGTGCAGCACCAGCGCACACACACCGGCGAGAAGCCCTACAAGTGCCCAGACTGTGGCAAATGCTTCAGCTGGAGCTCCAACCTGGTGCAGCACCAGCGCACACACACGGGCGAGAAGCCCTATAAGTGCACCGAGTGCGAGAAGGCCTTCACCCAGAGCACCAACCTCATCAAGCACCAGCGCTCACACACAGGCGAGAAGCCGTACAAGTGCGGCGAGTGCCGGCGCGCCTTCTACCGCAGCTCTGACCTCATCCAGCACCAGGCCACGCACACGGGCGAGAAGCCCTACAAGTGCCCTGAGTGCGGCAAGCGCTTCGGCCAGAACCACAACCTCCTCAAGCACCAGAAGATCCACGCCGGCGAGAAGCCGTACCGCTGCACGGAGTGCGGCAAGAGCTTCATCCAGAGCTCGGAGCTGACGCAGCACCAGCGCACGCACACCGGCGAGAAGCCCTACGAGTGCCTCGAGTGCGGCAAGAGCTTCGGCCACAGCTCCACCCTCATCAAGCACCAGCGGACCCACCTGCGCGAGGACCCCTTCAAGTGCCCCGTTTGTGGCAAGACCTTCACGCTGAGCGCCACGCTGCTGCGGCACCAGCGCACGCACACGGGCGAGCGGCCCTACAAGTGCCCCGAGTGCGGTAAGAGCTTCAGCGTCAGCTCCAACCTCATCAACCACCAGCGCATCCACCGTGGTGAGCGGCCCTACATCTGTGCCGACTGTGGCAAGAGCTTCATCATGAGCTCCACGCTCATCCGCCACCAGCGTATTCACACGGGTGAGAAGCCCTACAAGTGCTCCGACTGCGGTAAGAGTTTCATCCGCAGCTCGCATCTCATCCAGCACCGTCGCACTCACACGGGCGAGAAGCCCTACAAGTGCCCCGAGTGCGGCAAGAGCTTCAGCCAGAGCTCAAACCTCATTACGCACGTGCGCACGCACATGGATGAGAACCTCTTTGTGTGCTCCGACTGCGGGAAGGCCTTCCTGGAGGCACACGAGCTGGAGCAGCACCGGGTGATCCATGAAAGAGGGAAGACCCCAGCCCGGAGAGCTCAGGGCGACACTCTGCTGGGGCTTGGGGACCCAGCCCTGCTAACCCCGCCCCCTGGAGCCAAACCACACAAGTGTCTTGTCTGCGGAAAGGGGTTCAACGACGAGGGCATTTTCATGCAGCATCAGAGGATCCACATTGGAGAAAATCCCTACAAAAATTCAGATGGCCTCATCACACACCCAGCTCCCAAGCCTCCTCAGTTCCGACCTCCCAGGCTCCCTTTCGGAGGGAATTCTTATCCAGGTGCTTCTGAGGGCAGAGCTGACCCCTCAGGACAGCCCTTTAAAATGCCTGAGGGGCAGGAGAGCCCCAGCCAAAGGCTGAGCCTGCTCTCTTCCAAGTCCTACATTTGTTCCCACTGTGGAGAAAGCTTTCTAGATCGGGCTGTACTCCTCCAACACCAGCTCACCCACGGCAACGAGAAACCCTTTCTTTTTCCTGATTATAGGATTGGTTTAGCAGAAGGGGCTGGGCCCAGTCCCTTCCTAAGTGGAAAGCCTTTTAAATGCCCTGAGTGCAAAAAAAGCTTTGGCCTCAGCTCTGAGCTGCTGCTGCACCAGAAAGTCCATGCAGGTGGGAAACCACAGAAGAGTCCAGAGCGGGGGAAGAGCTCTTCTGTCCTCCTCGCGCACCTCAGGAGCCCCCTGGGGGCCAGACCCTACAGCTGCTCAGATTGTGGGGCCTCCTTCCTGGATCGCCTGGCCCTCATTCGGCACCAGGAAACTCACACCCAAGAAAAGTCCCCCAGACCCGAAGACCCCCTTCCAGAGCCAGTCACCCTGTCCACAAGCCAGGAAGGTGAAGGGGAGACCCCCACCCCTACCCCTACAGGGAGCAGTAGCCATGGGGAAGGGGAAACCTCAAAAACCCTCTTGGAAGAAAAGCCCTATTTGTGTCCCGAGTGTGGAGATGGCTTTACAGAGGTTGCAGCCCTCCTTCTTCATAGGAGCTGCCACCCAGGGGTCACCCTGTGAAATGGGTCTGGAGACCAGGGATCTCTCTCTCCTGAGAGGAACACTGGATCTCCTCACATATTTTGCGAGAAAAGGAAAAAAACCCTATCAGATTGTAGAGATGCAAAGGATAAAGGACCCTGGGTAAAAATAGTGCTTTTACATCAGTGATGAGAAACTATAAATTGTTGGTGGGAGCCACTTATAATGCAGTAGAGAAAAACTGGGTTAGAAACCCTATAAATATGTAGGAAAAAAAAGCCCTTTAAGTCTGTAGCAGAAAATCCCTATAAACCATAGTGGATAAAAGCCCTATTAATTGTAGGATGAGGTCCCAATATGTCTTTAGACAACCCTATAAAACTGTACTGAAATCCTTGTGAAACTGTAGGGTCGGGGAAGTGCAGGGAATATAGCAATGGCATTGACTTGGAAACAGTGACCCTCAGAAGGTGTAGAACCTCCCATGAACTTGTTCCACAGTGTTCTCTCTTACTATCATATGGGAGGGAGACTCAATCCCAGAAGCCTTGGACAATTACACTGTGTGGGAATTGGGTGGCACTTGGAAAAGGAAGAAAACAAAGGAGAAAAATAAGTGATGAGGAGCCCTCAGACCCCCAGAGGAGAATGACCCAGGAACTAGGAAGAAAAGGTCCAGCTCATTGCACTGGGGGTTCCTCAGGGTACAAGACCAGTCCTAGATGAATTGTGTGTGTGAGAGAAGAGGCCCATGGGATTCCTTATCAGAAAGAAGCCAAAAATGGGGAAGGAAAAAAAAAAATGATGTTGCACCTTTTTAAAGGCCGAAGTTTGTGGTGCATAAAAACTTTAAGTGTAAGAATACTGGGGAACCACCACAAAAATATAGAGGGAAAAGTGGGGGGATTCTGTTAGACTGCTTTGAGGGAAGGAAACCAAGTGGAGAAACTTCAGACGGAACCCAGCAAACTCCAGGCTGTCTTCCAGGTTGTCTTCCAGGTTACTGGGAGCTTGTTAAACTGCAAGTGCAAGCAGTCCCCAGCCAGGCTGCCAGGTCCTCCCCAGCCAGGCAGGATGACCCTTTCCTGGGGACTAATGTTCTGAGAGGCCTCCAGGGATGGAGGGTCCCTCCTGCTACATCTCAGGTCTCACTGTCAGGTTCCTCCTGAAGTCTAGCTGCCACCAGTGTTGCTGCAGTGGCAGCCCGTTTCCTCGAATTCTGTCCTCAGTGGAGAGGGAGAACTGCTGCTAGTCGACCTCCAAAGAATAAAGCCCTTCAGAGACTCAAGGCCTATGTGTGGTTAAATCCTCCCTAGACTGCTCTTCTCCAAGTCAACAAGAGCCACACGTAGGTCCTCTGTGGCAACAAGGGACAGCAACTTGACAGAATAGAGAGCTTTGAATAGAGCCAGCAACCTACTTTTAAACCTGTCTCCTGAGCTGATAGCAACAAGGCTGCTGGCAGGATGTACCAGCCTGCACATAGTGATGGGTGTCCAAACACCCACAGAAGAGTATATGGAGTCCTGACCACCTTCCTCACCCCGGTGCCTGGAGCCCTCTGAGGTTGTGACAACCCAGCCTGATTGTGGTCTTGGGAAGGGACGGATTCCACCCACTCGGCTCCTCTCCTCCTTAGCCAGAAACCTTCAGAGGGAAATGGAAAGATGAGAACCACACCCCTGCCAGACCCATCTCCTGTCCTCACACACCACACAGTTACACACTTATTAACCCAGAGAAACCCGCTACATGACTGGGTGTGTGTGGCAGGGGAGAGACTGTTGCCCTCTAAAATGGTTGGAGAAAACTCTTGAAACATCTGTAACAAGAACCCATCCCTTAACCCTGGAGACTCTTTCCAAAGGAAATACCCATTGACCCATGAGGGCACCAGTAATGCACTGTGGTCCTGGAGTAAGAACCAACATGCCAGGTGAGATGGCCCCCTTTAGGAGTCACATCCCTGGAGGGGGTGACCTGGCATCGTACAAAGCTGTGGAAGAGACCTCTAATTTCATTACCTGAAGTTCAAAAGGTGAAAGTCCTTCACCTTTTATCTACCCTGCCCCCAAAGGGATAACCCTCAAATTCAAAGGATCAAAATCTAGAACCCTGTAGGCCTGCTGGGGAGGAGAAGGCAGGCATTGCATGATTGTGAGGAAACCCTTTTTATCATCTGCATTAAAGCCCCACCTGACTCCAGTGCCAGGTGGGAAAGCACTACTGAGGGGAGGAGCCTGCCTGCTGAAGCTCTGCTGACAGAAGCGTCCACAAAGGGGGTGTCCCCGTGAGACTGAGGAATAGGACACAGTCCTCCAAATCAAAGCAGATTCTTTTCCCTCTAAGATGGTAGCAGAAAGAAACTCCAATTGTAGACAAACCCCTTTTAAAGCTAGAAGCAGAACCCTCAGAACAGGTCTGAAGTCTGTCTCCAGAAGAGTCCTGGGGAGCAGCCTTCGAGGCTCGGGGGCCAGTCCGGGGGCAGGTGGTCAGTGTGGTCAAAGGCTGACTGCGGGTCTGTTGAGGACTTGGGTGTAGCATTATGTAGTGGGATGCTCGCATGTTGTAGGGCTGGGTTAGGGCCGGGGTTGCTTCAATGGATGATGTGGATACAATGAGTTGGCGTTTGGGGTTTTGTGGCAGGAAAGGGGCAGAATCGGAGACCTTTGGGGTATGACCTCACCTCACCTAATTCCTTTAGCCAGGTGCTTCCCTCCCAGAAGCTACATCTTGAGGAACTAAGCAGGGAACTGGTTGGGGGAGGTGGCAGTGTCCCGAGTCCCTCTGACCAGCTCAGACAAAGGCCCAGCTCATTCCGGAAGGCCTCTTGTCCAACTCCACACAGGCCTGACTTCAGAAGTGCCCCAGCTGAGGAGCCCAACAGATAGGGTCACAGTCATTGTTGAAAGCGGAGGGAAGAACAGAAACTGATCTGAGCTTACGGTGAAACTTGAAGCTGCTATGGATATGGAGGTCAGATGGGAACTCGAAAGAACTGGGCATAAATCCTGAATTATTGGGAAACTTGAAACCGAGTCAAGAGGTGGGGTTCCATGACACTTGCCCCTGAGGTGAGCAGCCCCCAGACTCCTTTGCCCTCATTAGGGAAGCCCCACTCACCTAACTTGTCCTAGAGCGAAGAGAGGCCCCACTTTTGAGTGTTGTGTGTCAATAACAGTGTTGTGTCGCCGGTGGTCATGTTGATTAGTTGAAGAGAATAAAGGGAATAAGATTTCCCGGGTGTTTCTGTCTTCTCTTTGAATCCTAGAGCAAGCTCAAAGCGCTTGCCCTCTCCCAGAGCCACAGTCCACATATAACCTCAAAAGCTCAGGCCAGCTCCAGGCCACCCTTTTCCAAAAACCCTGAAATCCCACCCCATGCATGCTAATGAAGGTTTATTGAGTTTTAAAATCCATACCCTTGGGAGAAACGTTCTGAGGGTGGCAGAGCCAAGCAGCTGTTGTTGATTGATGTCTGGCTTTGGCACCAGCACATCCTCCTGACTGCTGGGTGACTGACTGCCTGGTGACTCTGGCTGGCTCAGGTCCAGCTGTGCAGCTCCAGCGAGGCCTCTCTGGCCACAATACCTGCCCCCTCCCCAGACTGCCACATGAGAAAGCTCCAAAGATCAAGTTCCAAAAGCTGGAGGCCACCTTCCCAGGTACACCTGGGTCCTGGACGTGGTTCTGCCCTTTATCTGGACCACAGCTTCCTAGACTCTGAGGAGAGGTGGCGCAGGAGACCTGGCTTGTCATCTCACTCAGGCTGTAGTCCATAACCCTATGTGGAGAGGTTGAGGCTCAGAGAAGGGCAGCCACTTGCCTAAGATCCACAGCAAGGCAGAGAGGGAAACCAGAATGTCCAGGAGCAGGCTCTATACCGAACCAAGCCTCTCCTCCATTGTTGGGCCTGTCTGGGATCCACACTGGGCCAGGCAGGGCTGCTCCAACGAATCCTCAATGCCAGGCTTACCTCTTTGCTACCTCCTGGGCCTAGGCCTGGTCATGGCCAAAGCCTGAGGTCAACACTTGCTCTAACCTGCCCCGGCCGGTTTGGCTCAGCGGTTGAAGCATCGGCCTGTGGACCAGAGTCCTGGGTTCGGTTCCCACTAGGGGTATGTACAAAAAAAAAAAAACTTGCTCTAACCCATCACCTGCCTCTGCCCCAGTCTGCCAGAAGCCTCCTGCTCCAGCCAGGAAGCTGTCTCCTCATCATCTCTGTGCTTCTCTACCCAGACTCCCAGGGTAGGCTCTCTGCCTCGCCTTCCTCTTCCCCATCTGGAAAGCAAGGGTGGGGTAGGGGAAAAGAAAGAGGTACTTGCCTTTAATGGAGAGGTAATGAAAGCTATCCTACATTCTGTGTTCCCAGCCCTGGGGACAACTGAGGTACATCAGAACTGGTCTCAGCACAGGAGTCCTCAGTAAAGTTAGGAGACTACAGATAAAGAACAAAAACACTGGAGTAGTGATTTGTTCAGACTTAACAGCAGGGGCTGTGGACCCAGACACAGTGCCTGCCACAACATGGGGTCAGGAAACTAGCTGGAGGACATGACCTAAGGAATGAGGGTTGCAGCAACAGAGTATGTGTAGGGGCCAGGGTTGGAGTGGGGGATCGAAGGTACACAGCAGTTGGGTGTGGTTTTAGAATTGAGGGAAGGGGACTGAAGGTAGAGAGCAGAGGCCAGAGTGTGAAGCATCTTGTTCTTTAAGAGCTTAGGGATAGGGCACCATTGGGGGACTTTTAAGGAGTACATGATCTTACCCTCCACCCCCACCCCATGCCAGGTTTGGACCTCAGGAAAGAGAACTGGGCTGGAGGAGTTGAGCCTTAGCAGCTTAGCTGTAGCCAAGGCTGTGGATAAACATACCGAGGAAGAGTGGCAGAGTAGAAAGGAGAGAGTCTAGGAAGAGAACCAGCAGAAAATACTAAGTTTGAGGAAAACCAGGAGAGTGTAGCACCACAGGACCCAAGGGAAGTTCTGAAGAGTGGTCAATGCCAAATGCTCCACTGGACACTGTGGCCAGTCACAGACAGTAGCCCTAGTTCTGGCTAAAACTGGCACTTTCACCAGAAGGCCAACAACATCTGCTTACCCCCAAGAGGCCGGACAAAGTCAGTTTGGGCTTGACTCTCCCAGGAACCCAGGGTATCACAGCCATTGGCTGGAGGGGCTTGACTAGCCCTTAAGGTAGATCCTCCCAGCACTGGGCAGGCTATTGCAAACCCAAGTTTATGGAGAATTTACTCTGTTCTTCCCATGGGATCAGTGCTTGCTCCAATAACTAAAATTCAGGCATCTTTATCCCATTCCCTTGGGCTTAAGCTTGAGAATGTGGTTTGATGCCTGCTTTATTAGGTATGAAGACTCACAAGAGTTTTTAGCTCCTCTTGGCTACGGAGACTGGTCTAGGGAAGCTATTTGGGGAGATGATGTGTAGTAACTTGTACTTAAAGAGCCCACATGGAGGTGACGCCTGGAAAGAGGGTGGGGGGTCAGAGTTTCGCGGACCCGGACCCACTTCAGGGCGCCATACTCCTCTCAGGGGCACACAGTCGCACTATGATGCAATATACTACGTTTCCCCACCCTTGCCACGGCTGCCACCCCCCGGGGCCCACGCACATTTCTTCAGGGGCTCAATGCCATCTCCAGCCACGGCCCGTGCCTCGGTGAGCGTGCCCGCCACCTCCAGCACCGCGCAGGAAGTCACTGTAGCCCGCGTGTCCGTCTCCAGTCCGACCTGGTCCGGCTGCTGTGACCCCGCCGAAACCCTGGGCGCCAGGTGGGTCCCACAGACAGACAAGGTCGGAAGCCCCTGTGAGGGCGCAACTGCCAAGTCTGCAGGACCGCGCAAAAGTGGGACTGCGGCCATGGCCCCGACGCCAGCTCCAGAACCAATCCCAGTCAGCACAGGCCTTAGCGCGAGCCCCAGAACAGCCTCAGTGATGGCAATCTCCAAAGGCCCGACAACATGCTGAACCCGTAAATACCCCTCGACACTCGAAACGGCTCCAGCTCTGCTAGCCGCCAGCGCAAGTTGCAATGAAGAAAGTCACCCGCTGAGGTGTCCCAATCTGCTCGTCTGAGGGGGAGGGGCGGCGAATTTGTTGGGGCGGCCCCGCCTGCAGGATGCAGGCCCGCCTCAGGCCAGCATAACCAAGAACCCGAGCTCCCTTGTGAGGGCCTGCTCACCATGTGCCAATAAGGGACTATATTTCCCAGGATGCAGCTGAAGGCTTCCCAGCATCCCAGCGGCCAATGACTGCGAGGGGTGTGGCGTGCCCAAGGAAGGGGCCAGTAGGGTCAGCACTCCCCCGTGGGAGGGGAGGAGGGGCCTGGAATCCCTGGCAGCCGTTAGGTATAACGGTAACTACGCGTTGAGGTGGGCAGGCGCGAGGACAGGTGTAGCAGCTAAAATTGGGGACCATGTCTTTATGTTTTTTGCTGTTAATCCTCACCAGAGGATAGATACATTTCCATTGATTTTTAGAGAGTGGAAAAGGAGGGAAGGAGAAAAAAACATGGTTGAGAGAGAGACACATCGATTGGTTCCTCCCCTATGACACCAACCAGGCAGGGGATTGAACCTGCAACCCAAGTACATGCCCTTGACCGGGAATTGAACCTGTGACCCTTCAGTACTCCAGCCGATGCTCTAACCGCTGAGCTAAACTGGTCAGGGCAGAGGATCATGTTTAGGGCAGGAAACCTGGCTACAGGCTGAGGGTTGGATGTTTAATCATAACACACAGCCTATACAAGACATCTCTGGAGCAGAGGCTGAGTCTGAACGGACTCATGCACCTGTCTTCAGCTCTACCTTCCAGGCCCCGCCTGCTGCCTTCACAGCCCAGTTTGCTGGG